TTCCGACTTTACCACGGTCAACGGTTCGTGAAGATCTTTCTGGTACAGATACTCTTCGATCTGCATCTTCTAGAAACTGAAATCGGATCCATCAAACATCTCGATTCCAAGCTTCGAACTATCCATCTTCTATGATCGTATTGAATCTCCTTAGCTCTGATACCAGTTGTTAGGATCGAATTCACGCACACACACTAGATGAATGGAGAACACAAGAACTTTCAAGAGAAAGAGATGAGAGATCTAGAGAGAAAAAGAAAAGCCCAATATTTCGTGGTAACACCCCGTGAGTAAACTTCCACGGCGGTGAGGTATATTTATATTAATAAATCAGAGTATTTTTGGTTACAGAGAATAAATAGAAAAATCTAAAATAGAGAATAAATAGGAAAACCTAAAATAGAGAATAAATAGGAAAACCTAAAATTAATCAGGCTCCACTACCTAACATAAAATACGGAGAGGTAAGGAAATATATCCTTAAGAGTAGGAAGTCTAACCTCAAGAGCTGAAAAGATGAGGATAGCGGGATCTCATGTTGGCCTCAGCCTCCCACGTAGCACCCTCAACAAGATGATTTCTCCACAATAAGATGATTTCTCCACAATACCTTCACTGTGGCAATCTCCTTGTTCCTCAACCGCTTGATCTGTCTGTCTAAGATCTCAATAGGTACCTCCTCATAAGACAAGTCTTCACCAACCCCCAAACCTTCCACAGGTAGAATCGATGTTGCATCACCTAGGCATTTCTTCAACATAGAGACATGAAAGACTGGATGGACAGAAGATAGCTCCGCACACAATTCTAACTTATAGGCCACCTCACCCACACGTTGTAGGATCTCATATGGCCCCACATACCTCGGACTCGGCTTCCCTTTTCTACCAAATCTCATCACCCTTTTCATAGGTGATGTTTTCAAGTAAACCTGGTCACCAACATTAAATTCTAAGGGCCGCTTTCTGTTGTCTGCATATGATTTCTGTCGGCTGTAAGTAGTAGCCAACATTTCCTTAATCACTCTAACCTTCTCTAAGGCCTCATGAATGATCTCTGGACCCAAAATGGATGACTTTCCAACCTCGAACCACCCAACGGGAGATCTACACTTCCTACCATACAGTGCGCCATCCCAATGCTGGAGTGATAACTATTAGTATACGAGAACTCTATCAAAGGCAGATGGTCATCCCAGTAACCTTTGAAGTCAATCACATACGCTCTCAACATGTCCTCCAATGTTTGAATGGTGCCCTCTGCCTGCCCATCTGTCAGAGAATGAAAGGCAGTGCTAAGCTTTACCTGCGTGCCCAAGCTTTTCTTGTTAGTCAGAGCGTGAGAGAATGAGAGTTGAGAGATGTGGAAGTGAGTTGAGAAACGTGAGGGAGAGAGTTATTAGGATTAGGAGACTAAATTCAAGAATTAGTCAAAATAAGATTTAATTAACTTAATAAAAAAATCTGATTTATTTTAATTAATACGTGAAAGGACCATTATGCCCTTAAAATTTCAGATTTTTAAATAATAATTAAATCACCTTAAGTACCTATTTATTCGATTTTTTTTAGGATTGTTACAATTGCGTTAGAATATGAGTTAAAATATTTCATGTTCAAGGAATATATACAATGATGATATCTTTGAAAAAATTCATCGTTCTTCATATATACTCACAAGTGGTATCTATTTTTCACATTGTTATTATCTTCGTTTTGTGATATTTGCACCATAAGCTTTGCATCTAATAAAATACTAATCATTGATCAATTAATTCGTAAAGATTGTTTTTAAATCTTTCAAATCTCTATAGCTTCAACTTAAGTATAATGTGTTTGTATTTGACTTCATCGATGAATTTATGATGCATTTTATAATTGTCTTCCATAAATAGAAATACTTAAAAAATTGATTTCTAACTTCACAACAATAAAAACAATCAAGAAAGCAACTTTATTTCTATATATAATAACAATTATCGTAATGTTATATTCTAAATATTGAAAGTATTTACCAAAAAAATAATTTTTGCCTCCACAAAACAAAAACAATCATAAAAGAAATTTTATTTCTATATATAATAACAATTATCGTAATGTTATATTCTAAATTACATTAATTAATTTTTTTATACTACAATTAATATCATGATGTAAAGAAAACTCTAAAACTTACCCCCCACAAAATAACCAATATATTTTTTTTTCACGAGTTTTTTTTCAAATTTATTTATTTTTTAGTTCTCTATATATCTAAACAATTTTTTTTCTATTGACATTTTCTTTTGTTGTTCTTCTTTATTTTTTAAGTACTCATTTACTTTATTTTACGTTTCGATATTCATCAGGATTTGAATGTTAAACGTTGACTTTGTCAAATTTCCTCTGTTAAATAGTTTATCATATTTGATATTAAAAAAATATAAAAATTAAAATTTTATATTTTATAATCTTTTGATGAATACATTATCAAATTATTGATTTTATTTAAACAAAAATACAATAATATCCTTATGGGCCCATAACAAAAGTTAAGACATATATAGATTCTTCCAGATTTTCATTTTGACAATTAATTATACAATTATTATTTTATTTTTAAAAGTAATGTTAAAATTATTAAAATGTTATTGATCGTCCTTCTCAGAAATCTTCTGTATAATAGAAATTTTAGGAGTCAATATAATAAAATAATGTTTAAACGAAAAATAAAAAGAAATAAATATACGGGAAAGGAGGAATATGCAGCAATATGATATACTACTATTTATTGAAAGGTACGCGAGTCAACTTCGGTGTTTGTTCCTTGTAAATTGTTTGTTTCTATATATATATATATGTACGTTGCGGGATTGTTGAATCTCTAACAACTCTTTATTTATTATCATCATACTCATATCATATAATTCATGTAGTACTCTAGTATTAGTTAGTACGTGAAGTGAATTTTCATTGTTTGAGACACGAGATATGGAATTGAATGATGGGAAGAAGATAAAGATTGGGGTTTGTGTAATGGAAAAGAAGGTGAAAAGCGGCCCGGAGGTTCTCTTTCTTTAATTTGTTTTTGGTTCAATTTTGTGGCCACCACCATGCACACCATTATTAATACTCATTTTTCACAGGTATTTTCTGCTCCCATGGGACAGATTCTCGATAGATTAAACTCATTTGGCGAGTTTGAGGTAATTTACATTTCCCTTTTCTTTTTTTCATCCGGAGACATTTCTATTTACATGTACATACATGTAGGTAGTGCATTTTGGGGACAAAGTTATTCTCAACGATCCAATTCAAAGGTACTTTAATTATTCATTCTACAATCTCAACTACTACTACTACTACTTCAATTCAATTACTCTGTATTTGCAGCTGGCCCTGTTGTGATTGCTTGATTGCCTTCCATTCTACTGGATATCCTTTGGACAAGGTTGAACAATATGCTGCATTGAGAAAGTATGTACCTAACTCCACTATTTTCTCCTCCTTCCTAATTTCCTTGTCAAATATAAACTATCTATCTGCTCCTCGCTCTTAGGCCTTTCCTTGTCAATGAATTGGAGCCCCAACACCTTCTTCATGATCGCAGAAAAGTATATGAGGTTCATATTCTTAACTTCATATTCATGTTTCCCCATTATCCTGTTGACAACCCCCTCTAGGAGATAATTTTGACACTTCTTCATTTTTGCGTTTGATTGTGGGATTTCAGCATCTAGAGATGTTTGGGATCCCCGTTCCCAGATATGCTTGCGTTAATAGAGAAGTGCCTTATCAACAACTGGATTATTTTGAAGAAGAAGATGACTTTGTCGAAGTTCATGGGAATCGCTTTTGGAAACCTTTTGTGGAAAAGCCTGTTGACGGTGAGTTTTCTTGCCTTGCCAGGATTGTGGAAGTATATTTTGTCTGGTTGATTAGCTTAATATATCATTTGCATTCGAACTGCAAATAAATAGACTGGAATAGATCAAAAGTAAAAAAACTCATATTTTTGAGTTCCTTTAAATTTTGAGAAATAAATAATGAACTCAACACATTGATGCCTCTTAGCTAAGTTTGGGTTTGACAAGAATTCAAAACTGTACCATATTATGTTGTAACTACTATTGGAGTTTCAAAAGTTTAATTTGATTTGAGCTTAGACCTCAAGTCTACTACTTTTATCTTATGACTGCTATCGGACTGCAGGTTTCTCTAATTGGTAGAATTTGCTTTGGCACCTGCCGCATTTACCATTTACCGTGTCTTATTCAGTCTCTCATTATTTGAGTAGGTGATGATCACAGAATAATGATATATTACCCTAGTTCAGCAGGCAGCGGAATGAAGGAATTGTTCCGAAAGGTAAAAATTAAAAAAATGACATTGTTTATTGCACAAAAATTGAAATTGCTTTGGCCAACTTCTTTTTGAGTCAGACACTGCAGCTCCTCTGTTATGACTATTCTGCAAATGTTCTTGTATTTTTTAATCAACCACTCTCCTGTATAGAAACCCCTATATCCTAATAGGTATGATTGAGAGATATCTTCCGCAACTTAAATTTTTCTTCCAACATCACTGAAGAGAGATAGATTTGTCATTTCTTTCATTGGGATAGTGTCAAGACTTATTTCAGTTTCCTGCTTCTCCTTTGCTTTCATAGACTTCCAGGTGTCTACTTGTGACATTTCTTTTGTACTGAAAATTATGAGAGGAAAAAAGTTTTAATCCTGAAGCGAGCGTCTCTTTGTCAGTTGCTTATCTGTAATAGCAGGATTCATATCTTTTAAAAACATTGCAACTTTTTAACAATTGAAGTTCTCTTATTAAATGATCCATATCCTCCACCATAGTTTATGTCTATTTTACGATAGATTTAATAGTATGTTGTACATGCATTTCGGTTTGATGTTCTTTAACTTCTTTCTTTTTCTTCAGGTTGGTAACCGCTCAAGTGAGTTCCATCCAGATGTTAGAAGAGTGAGACGTGAAGGATCATACATATACGAAGAATTTATGCCTACAGGAGGAACAGATGTTAAGGTTCCTAAGTTTATTTTGGTTTCATAGAGTGAATGAGCTTAACTGTAATTGACAATTAAACTTGATTTTCTTTTTATGGTGTGTAGCATAACTCAGGTATTACTATGTCTAGCATAAAGATGTTAGTGGGCCCATAAGTTTTTGAATTCTTTTTGTTAGATAGTAGATGTTGTTTCGAGAAATTGTAATTACATCAAACATTGATGTAATGCATGACATGGGATGATATAGTTAATCATACTTTATCATACTTGAAATTGTGGCACACTTGATCCCTCTTTACATGTTTAATGAGCATTGTTAGCTTTTCATTAATTCTAAATTGTGAAAAAAATTTGAGAAGTAAACAAACATTAAAGATGCTATAATATTTTTGAGGGACATAGGCTATAAAGAAGTCTCGAGGAAAAACTAAAAGAAGGGATAATGAAAAAAGTAGGAGATAGAATAGTGAAAAGCTAATTTTTAAGAACTTGGGTGGAACTTTTGGTTACATATTCTGAATAGTCGATGGAGAAAGGAACTCATGTTTTTTGGACTACGGGAATGTCTATAGTGGAGATAATAACTTCTCAACATTTCCATGTTACTGGTCTCATAGAGCTAAATGCAAGTCCAATAATTGTTTCCATCATGAGATACTGACTTTTCTAAATTTCCATGTTTCCTTCGATATGTTCTTTCCTATTAGTTCTTCCCAACCCGCACAGCCCCCAAAAAGGAAACGTATAATGACAGAAAATCATACCTCCTATACTGATCTCATATATTTATAGTAAGAGCTAGCAACTTTTTCCATCTAGATCTTAGCTCCCATGTTTTTACCTCTTGGACTCATAGTGGATCTTCATTATAGAAAACTCCATGGAAATCCTTTTTCACAACTTTTCTCGTGATGTACGCATATCCTTGATCTTTTTTTTTCATTAAATTTAAGTAGGTGTATACTGTTGGCCCAGAATATGCACATGCAGAGGCAAGGAAGTCTCCGGTTGTTGATGGAGTTGTGATGAGAAATCCTGATGGAAAAGAAGTTAGTAATTTCTTCAACTTATCGTCGGCAACTTTAGAAGTTCTCGTTTTTTTTTGTCATGTACGGCACATAGTCAGAGAAGAAAAGGAAAATAACGGTGTTATCATCTTTTTATGTACTGTGTGCACTTGGCTCAGGAGACAGTAGTAGTTTTGACAAAGTAATAACTTACTGATGTGGAAAATTTCCCCATATACAAGGCTCATGGAGAAATGTATCATGTCCCACTTAAATATCTTCTGTATATAAGTAAATTTGTCAAAGTACTGATCTTTTCCTCTAGCAGCAGATATGTGCTTATATTTGGCTACACGTTCAAACTAGCTTCATTTTGCAGGTCAGGTATCCTGTTCTATTAACCCCTTCAGAGAAGCAAATGGCAAGAGAAGTTTGCATAGCTTTCAGGCAAGCTGTAAGTCACTTAAGTCTTCCAATATTTTCCACGACATCTGGAAATATGAAATTAAATACTTCTCATCTGGTCTTCATGCTTATACTGTGGGTGTATATGGTAAAACTTGCCCCAATTCTCTCTAACCATTGTTGGAGCCTTAATTGGTGGCATGTGAAGGATCATCCAACTGCTGACGATAGATGATACTAGTCCCCCCAGCTATAATACAGTTACTTGACTGATTTCTTACTTTGCTGTATATATTATTTAGAAATACATGAATCTTTGTTGAATTGTTTCCCCGGACCTCTAAGCTGAGGCATATTGTACTGGCAATTTTTGTTTGATGGTATTGTAAACTACATTGATGGAAAAGAGAAGGATAACAATTTCTCTTCCTTTTGTTTAGGTTTGTGGCTTTGATCTGTTGCGTTGTGAGGGGCGTTCTTATGTTTGTGATGTGAATGGCTGGAGCTTTGTGAAGAACTCTTACAAGTAATGTTTACAATGCTTCATATTCTTCACTAACAAGAAAGAAAATGAGGAAACTTCCTGTCCAGTCTGTTTACTGTTTCACTTTTCAGCATTACTCCTTTCAGCTTCTTAATACAAAATGGAACATGTATCTTATGCCCTAATTGGCAGAAAAAGAAAGTGGAGAAAGTAAAATGGAAGGGAGAAATTGATGACTGGATGGGTATATAAAATATGCCTTTACTGGGGATAAGATAACTGAAATAAAGGTGAAAGTAATCTTCTACTTCCTCTTGAATCTGAGAGCTCAAGATATATTAACCATCAGAGAGAACTTAAATCTGTACATCTGTAATGTAACTGATTTTTTAAAATTTCCTTCTAGAGATATGATAATCCTACCAAATGGAGTACAAGAGTGACCAGTACTAAGTAGGATAACTGACACCCCAAAACAGGTAAAAAGATAAAAAAAATGTTGAAATCTAACTTATGTGTTAAGAGAATATGTCAATATCAATATCTTCACTTGTAATTTTCATCCTGAACAATGATTTATTTATGTGCTTAATTAGTTTTAGACCTCTTGTTCTGCCCCATATATGTTTTGACTGCACATCCCTTTCTCACAGTGGTACTCCCAATGGTAAGAGCTAGATTTTATAGTTGAAGATTTCATTCATACCTGCATCATGAGTTCTAAGTTAAAGTAATATTTCCTGTGGTCGTGTTTTCATTATTAACATTATCATTACTGTCATGGAGTACAGCAGAAGTGGTAGCACTATAGTGTCTTCAGCTGGTACCCACATTATTATTTCGGTTCTAAAAAGGGAGTTATTGCTATGATGTCTGAGAACAGGTACTATGATGATGCGGCATGTGTGTTGAGGAAGATGTTTCTAGATGCAAAAGCTCCACATCTTTCATCCACGATACCACCAACTTTACCATGGAAGGTTAATGAACCTGTTCAGCCTTCTGAGGGACTAACACGTCAAGGAAGTGGGCTTATTGGCACATTTGGACAATCAGAGGAGCTTCGATGTGTAATTGCAATTATTCGGCAGTAAGACATAACTTTTTTTCTTCATTTTCTTTGTTGCCAAAAAACTTTTAGTTTCCTCTTTAATTATTCTCAATTTGTGCAGTGGTGATAGAACTCCAAAACAGAAAGTGAAGTTCAAGGTCACTGAGGAAAAGCTCTTAAATTTGATGTTAAAATATAATGGGGGTAAACCAAGATCTGAGGTACTTCTTTGATTTTCGCTGTCCCATCTTCTTTTTAACTATATTCCCAATGTTTTAGAGTAAAGTATTGTTATTTACTCTCCACAATCTGCTGTAGACAAAGCTTAAGAGTGCCGTGCAATTGCAAGATCTTTTGGATGCCACCAGAGCTCTAGTACCACGTACTAGGTGAGTAAAACTTATTTTCATTCTTAATAGAAGCAGTATCTCATTAATTTCTTAAACTCATATTTGCTATTGCCTTCTGCTTTTGATCTTCATCCCCTAACCTGGATAACATCTACACGTTTCACCTACAAGAGTAATTATGAAGAATATTAACCTGATAAATAATAGTACTTTTTATCTGGACCTCACCTGTGAGGTTTGCTTTTAAAGATGTACTACATTAATTCTAAGATCAATCAAAGAGGACTGACTATTAAACAATGTTTATACTGATTATCATCCAGGCTTTAATTTATTGGAGATGATATCTAGAGTTCTAAAAAGCAGGCATATCATTCAAACAAAAGGACATTCATACCCGTCACTTCCAGTCCTAATATTGTGAGTTTTAGTCACCAAAGGAGCAAAAAGGGGCAAAAAAAAAAAGACATTCATATGTAAGTGATGTAACAAAGACCCTAGTATACTAGTGCACACATTTCATGGTTAAAGGAGGTCGGAGAGGCTCCAAGTTAAATTGATTATGTTTGCTCGTAAAATCTTGACTCATTAAATTTTTGATATTATATTATCTCAAAAGTTTCAAGGATATATTTGAAAAGATAATGGTAAGAAAATAACTTCCATCCATGTGAAAATATTTGCTACCGAATACTAGAAAATACCTTCCTTATTAAATTATTTACCTTAAATTTGACTTCCATCATACAAAATAAGTAACTTTTTTTTTTTAATATATAAAACAGTAGAAAGATAATCTCGTTAAAGCTTGCAACTAAATCAAACTACAATGTTGCATTTGTCCACTCCAGGTAAAGAGACGAGTCAAAGAATAAGAATACTATTCATATATGCCTTTTCTTTTTGTCGATATATAATTGGACATGGAATGTTGATGTTAATTTAAAATTTTATAATATTAGTGACAAACATTATTAAGGTGATGATCAAAATTTTGATCCAGTACAGAAAATATCAAATAAAAATAAATTTAAATAGTTAGATAAATTAAATTCTTAAGAATTATATGAAAAAGTGGTTTATATGATGCTAGTAAATTTTATATGTTAAACGTATTTAGATTCTCCAGAGTACTAAACGTATCATACGTTCCTGCAAGACATATAGAGTAGTATGCATTTTGAAACATATATAGCAAAGTAGCAGTAGTTATAATAGTTGAGGTTATCCAACTAGTTCCAATATTAACCGTTAACCAAGACTAGAAAGAAGTGATTGAAGCATTAAACTTTTTTTGAATAAAGAATGTGGAAGATTAAAATGTAGTATGTGAAAAGAACATGATAACATCTATGTATATACCTATTTATATATTGTGAGAAATATAGGAAAAGAATATTATTGAATAGTTGTTGTGTCTACATTATTACACAAGACCCTATTTTTATAGACCATAGAATACAATTCTTTATTAAGTAGGATACTATTTAGTATTCCTATTCCTACTCATAGGATTGTATAAACTTATTCCTGTTCTATAGGATTGTATAAACCTATTCCTATTCTAATAGGATTGTATAACCTATTCCTATTTCAATAGGATTGTATAAACCTATTTCTATTTAAACACTCCCCTCAAGCTAGTGCATACAATCATGTACCTAGTTTGTTACAAATGCAATTAACACGAGGACACATGAGAGGCTTGGTGAGATATTAGCAAGTTGATCAGTCGACTTCACAAAATTGACAGTCAATCTCAATGTGTTTGTCTTCTCATTAAATACTGGATTTGATGCATAATGTCAGTAAACACAAAGATAAAATTTCAATGTTGAACTTCCCAAACTAAAACCTGCAAAGACTGCTTCAAACTATAGAGTGACTCACATAATCGACATACAAGGCTATTAAACTCCCCCTGAGCAACAAAGTGCGCAAAATCTAGTGTAAAGTATATGGATCATGTTGGAATCACTAGATGAGTCGATATTAAACAAGTCACCGAAAAACTGGCTGGAACATGCTCATATGCCGAAGTATTAGGTTTGATGGCTAAAGTAGTCACAATCTAAGAAATAAAATTATATATGTAGGATCGAAATGATGTCACCAACCAACTAGATAATAGAAATTAAATAGAATAGTTCGAATTGATGAAATAACCCCATTGAAAAAGAGAAATAATATGGGTAGGGTCGAAATGATGGCACGACCCTAATGAAAAAGAGAAATTATATATGTAGGATTGGAATGATGGCATAACCCTGCGCAAATCAGATTTGATGAGTCACTCGAAAATCGAATGAAACTACGCAAATCAAACTGAGGAGTCACCGAAAAGATACACGGTGCTATGCAACTCAGATATGAAAAAGTAGTTCGAAAAAAAATCCACAGCACTACACAATATAATATGAAAAGAAGTCTGAAGAGATGCATGGTGCTACGCAAATAAGATATGAAAAAAAAAAGATAGTCACCAGAAGGATGACATGGTGCTTCGCAAATTAAATATGAAAAAGTTGTCTGGAATGATGGCACGGTGCTACACAAATTAAATATGAAAAAGTAGTAACCGGTATGATGGCACGGTGCTACACAAATTAGATATAAGAAAGCAGTCATCGGAATAATGGGGCGATGCTACAAAAATTAGATATGGAAAAATAGTCACTAAAAAGATACACGGCGACTCAACTTTTGCTAACATAATCATTGGCCAGACGGGCGGCATATATGAGTTAAATCGCCCACCAACAACGGAAGCTCTTTGATTGTTTACCAAGATCGTAGAGGCTCTGATACCATGTGAGAGAAATATTGGGAAATAATATTATTGAGTTGTTGTTGTGTCTACATTATTACACAAGACCCTATTTATAAACAATAGAATACAATCCTTTATTAAGTAGGATACTATTTAATATTCCTATTCCTATTCTAATCGAATTGTATGAACATATTCCTATTCTAACTATTCTAATAGAATTGTATAAATTTATTTTTATTTCAATATGATTATATAAACTTATTCTTATTTTTATA